AAGCTCTTTTACACATATACCATTGCTCTTCTTAAATAATGCCATATATACTAATTTGAGTTTTTATTTGTAATTATACAAAAAACCTAAATTTTATGTAATTATACCACACCCTAAGTAAGAGCTCTAACTTCTAGGCCATATAGAAAATAGGGCACAGAATGGAGCCCCTCTACCCCATTCTCTGTCTCACCTCACTGACAACCAGCGCCTCGTTGTCGATCTATCGCCGCTTTAGGGCTGGTTCATGGCGATTCTATACAAGGAGCTAGAGAAGTTCAACGATTAACGACTCGGATTTATCCTCCAGCCCAACGAGGAGCATGCGCCGGTCCTCACACCTCAGCCGCTACACACCGATCGAGACCCCAAATATCGTAGGACACATCCCCTTCTCCTCTGCCTCCGCTGCCATTTCTCTAGGGCTGACGTCTGGGGCAGCGTCGTGCGTCCCTGACAACAACTCCAAGGTCCTCGACTCTGGCGGCACGACCTCGCTTGGATTTGTTGCGTAGCTGGACATCAGACTGCATATATTGCTACAAAGGCTCCTCAACCGGGTCAGTTCTTGGCTTAGCTTCGAATTCCCCCTTCTCAGCTATGAAGAAGCACATGGTGGCGATGGTCCGCGAGGCTGAGAAGCTTCGATCTGAGCTTGCGGTTGCGAAGAAGTGGGCCATGTCCATGGCCGTGGTTTTGCGTCTTAATTCGGATTCGATTTTATCCGATATTGAAAAGTTTGAATCTTATTCCAGAGCAATGTTTTATTTTATGTTTATATTACTTTATATTTGATATATGAACATTTATTTTTAGACATGTAGCAAGATCTAATAATATAAACCTGTTATAAAGTATAAATAAACTAAACGAAAACGTAAAAAGAAATAGTTCGTAAATTTACACTAACAATGTACCCTTTATCTAAGATTCCAACATCTTAAAAAATGTTAATATTTATGCAAAATATTTCAAAAACTGCAATATATATAAATTATCCTAAAAAAAATGATAAGATTTAAGGTCCATGTAGTATGCGATTCTAAGGGGTGTCTGTGGAAAAAAGCATGCACGGAGGATTTTTGACCAAGAAGCCTTCAAGATAACCACCTACAATCCCAATTATACATGGTCTACATCTTTTCATCTTAGAAATATTAAAATCAAGTGGTTGTGTGAGAGGTACTTGAGCAAGTTTTAGGCTGATCTAAAAAGAAAAGTTAAGAGATTTAGAAGAGGGTGGTTAACGAGTTGGGGGTAGAGATTTCCATGCATCAGGCTTATAGGGCTAAAAGAGAGCTCTAGAGGTACTTGAAGGGAATACAGACTCAAGAGTACGAAAAGTTGTGGGATTATGTCCAACAGCTGAGGGATACGAATCCTGGTTTCATAGATGTCGAAGAAGGTTATGGTGTTCGTAGATTTTTCAGATTTTATGTCTTTTTTGTTGCAAGGAGGGTTTTAGGAGTGGTCTTAGGCCAATAGTAGATTTTAGGAGTGGTCTTAGGATAAGAAGAAATATAAAGGTGACTAGGAGATGACTAGAAAATAGATAAACACTAAGTTCGAGCAGGCTGCCCGCGGGCAATCAGACAGAACATTTCGGGTAGGTATTTCTCTATAAAATGGACTGAGATATCAGCAAATCCTGACTTTACATTCTCCATACATTCTATTATGTTCTTACTCACAGGGTAGTTCCATCATCTTCTTGACACTGACTTAAGCATCGGAGGCTCATCGCCGGAATCCCCTACGGCGTTGAGTTCTTGCAGGTACACGCGCGGTGGTTCAGGCAGATTGGAGCTCATCTCAACCAATTCTATCCCGATTTGGGTAGTGACCCATCAAGGACTGACCAAATATTTTTTTTTAATTCAATATTCAACTCAAACTTATCTCAATGCAACTTTTATCAATAAAATTAAATAATACTAATTAAACTTGATGAGACGAGCTGAGCTTGGTTCACTTAGTAAACGAGCAAATAATCGAGCTCGAGCTCAACTCGTTTATCAGTAGTAATTAGTCGAAATACATTAACGAGTCGACCTATAAAAACTTATATAAAATTTATTGTTTTGATCCTACCGAGTCGAATCCAACCCGACTCGTTAACTAAACGAGTTTATGAGCTTGAACTCGACTAATTTATCAAACAAACCGAATCGAGCTTGAGCCTTAACGAGCCTAGTTGATCTCAAGAATGGCTCGTTTATTTAACAACTTTACTGGTCATGAGCAGTTAACACTAATTATTGAATATAGNTTTTTTTCTAATTTGATTAGTTGATTTATTTATTTATTTATTTATTTTTTGTCAAAGCTACTCATACAAATTTTTAACTCAAAATCCAACTTAAATTTAATTGAACTTAGTTATTCTTTATACTAGTACGGTACCCGTGCGATGCACGGGAGCATTTATTATCTATTTGCTTTTTAAAAGGTTTTTTGTATTTAAATTGTCTCATGGCATTAAAAATATGATGAAAATGAAATTTATATGTTATTAAACACTTTCTTATGTACAACATTATTGGTTTAATTCTTTGGCACGTAAAGTACTACATAAATATTTGAATTCTATCTAAAATTGCATATTATTAATTAAAAAATTTTAAAAAAATTAAAGGATCTTATTTATTAAACAAAATTATAGTAGAAAAGTAGAAATTTTTAGGAACTTTCACACATTATTTATTTTAAATCTAATTATAAATTTCAATTAAGAAAAATTGGAAAGACTCATTAGTTATTCTTGAAAATGAAACCGATTTTCCTACCAATAAACTGATTTTTTTTATCAAACAAATTAATCCAAATAAAAAAAAAATCATCAATTTTTCTTAAAAATGCAACCATTTTTTTTTAACATTGCACCGATTTTTTTTTACTAAACAAATTGAATTGAAAATAATTCTAATAAAAAATTGAAATAATTTGTTAATGTTTATGCAACTGTCTCTTTCTTAAAGAAAATGATATGAACTTAATAAAAAAAAATGATATTAACTTACCAAAATCTCGGTAAAACATTGTTAAGAAAAAAATAAGAATCCAAAAAAATCGATGCATTTAAATTTTGAAAAGTTGCACAACTTTTTCTAAATAATTGGATTAGGTAACTTTAAGTATAACAAATGAACCGCTTCTGTTACCAAAAAATGTGGACACAATTTTGAAAGTACATCCCGTCCAAATATCAGTTTTATTTTAAAATAAAAATTGCACGTGGTTTTATCTAATTTACACACTTTTTTTGAATGAAGAAATTATACAATAAGATTTGAAGAATTGGTTAAGAATTATACAACTATTTATTTCCTAAATTTGCATCTAATTTGCACGATTTTTAAATTAATTTGTATTTAGAATTATTTTCATAAATAATTGACACATTTTTTGTATAATAATCTCCAAATTGTTACCAGAAAAGATATGATTTAAATTTTGATAAAAAAATAAAAAATATGATACAAAAAAAATGAGATTCAAATTTTGCCATAAGAATCTCTAAGTTTGTTACCAAAAAAATAGGATTCAGATTTTGTTGCTAAAGATTCACATGTGTTTTTTCGAAGTTTCCATTAATAGTAAGTCAGACATTATATTTATTTGGTCAAACTTTCTATTAATGTATTTTTCCAACAACCTCTTTATATATATATATATATATATATATATATAGATTATCAATATAATTAAATAATATCAATATATCATTACTACACAAGTTCCAACAAAATTAATTATTCATCCACATCCACTTACACAAAAATTTTATGGAGCCATCATATAGTTTCTTATGGAGATATCCACCACTTGATGTATTGACACATGTCCAAATTGTATTTAATGCAGGAAACGTGTCAATACACTATTGGTGAGTATGTGTGGATGACTTCATAAATCGAGTCATGAATCCATTGCAAAATTGTCCACTTACATATTTTAAACTATCAACCTTGTTATAGTACTTTTTATTTCACATCAATTTTAATCATTACCTCTTAAATTATTAGTATTATTCACAAATTGAAAATCAAATTCAAATTTCCATTCAATTTTTTTTTTCCATTTTAATTCAATTTATCCAATAAATAAAAATTTGATCAAAATTTTCATCTGGAAACAAAATCCGGTTAAAATCCTCATCCACACAACCACGAATCAGCCACATGATTGCCGATTGGTTCGTTTCCTGATCTCTCCTGACAGGTCAGCAAAGAAAGTAAAAAAGAAAAAACTAGAAAACACCCTCTTCATAAATAGCCAACATTCTATCTTCAAGCTCTCTCACATGGTGTTCTTCTAGCTCTTCAAAGAAAAACCTTGAAGATCGGCGGCTATGGAGGCCCTCAACTCAGCCGTTCCGACTCCATTTCCAGTCCTCGCCAAAAGAACGGAGCCCAGGAAGAACCCATCGCAGCCCAGCTGCTCCATTCCTCGCTCCAAGAATCAGTCTTTGTCCCTCTCTAGAAGCTTCAATGGCGGCTTGGTTCTCTTATCCTCGCTTATCAGCTCGGGAATCTCTAAAGCTCTCTCATACGACGATGCCCTTCAGCAGTCAACCGACGGCGCCTCGGGGATCGATCTCAACGGCGCAATTACCTTCGCGGCCGAAAATCCGGTGGTAATCGGCGGCGGAATGGCGGCGGCCGTGGCCGTTCCGTTGTTGGTCTCGCAGCTGGTGGGTAAGGGCAAGGCGTGGGGCGTGGAGAGCGCCAGGAATGCCTACGCGAAATTGGGCGAGGATGAAAATGTCCAGCTGCTCGATGTAAGATCGACGGTGGAGATTAAGGGAGCTGGGAGGCCCGATTTGAAGGGCTTGAAGAAAAAGGCTGTAGGGATTATGTACAAAGGGGAAGATAAAGTGGGTTTTTTGGATAAGTTGAGTTTGAGGTTTAAGGAGCCACAGAATACAACTTTGTTCATACTGGACAAGTAAGGATTTTGATTTTTGGATATGTTTCATGGTATCTGTTTGTCATGTCCTAAGGAGATAAAGGTTGTCAGTGTTAGTTGTAATCTGTTCTCTTCATCTCGAGATAATTTCTTCATATATGTGCTTGATTATTCTTTGTTTTGCTTTATTCTTTTATTTCGAATTGCTGTTGCATGGAGTATATAGTTCATTGAATTAATTTGGTTGTGCTGAATCTGCATTGATCTTGACTGGCACTGGAGTTATGTGGCCGCCTTTTACTGTGTTTTAATGGAGTGGTTAGAGATTGCAAATGATTCAGTCTGTGGACTGATTTATAGAAGAATCAGGGGAATTTTATCTGTTTCTCATGGGAATATTTAAATCGTCCTACGAGCAAGTGTGATTACATTAGGACCATAGTTTAGTATTAGGAGAAAGAAGCGCACTTTATTTGAAATAGAAAATGAATTTGTACATAGTATGGTACATCTCATGCTGCGGATTTTTTTTACGTGAACTAGGAATGAAGTTACGAAATGTATGTTAGGTGCTATTTGGCCTGTCCCGAGTAATATCTCCTTTGGAATGTAACTAAAATCGTAACATTTTATGGTTTTTCACTTGTGATGAAGCTAGATTTGATGGGAACTCGGAGCTCGTGGCCGAGCTTGTGACAGCCAATGGCTTCAAAGCTGCTTATGCAATCAAAGATGGAGCAGAAGGGCCAAAAGGGTGGAAGGTTATTGCCATTTTATTATTATTATTATTTTTATTATTAATATTATTATTTTTTACGTGAACTCACGCAGATTAGGACTTTATGCAGAACACTGGACTTCCTTGGATACCTCCTAAGAAAGGGTTGAGTTTGGACTTCAGTAGTTTAACCGATGCTTTTGAGGTATATATACGTATATCTCAACTTGTTTTTATCATTGGTGCTTATTATTTTAACCGAGTAGCATGAAAGGCTTGTAGATTCTGTTGCTCAGTTATTTTGGTTGATAAAAGAACGAATCTAGGAAAACATTAAATATTCTGCATTCTAAAAAGGAAAGGAAGATAACGCGACGAAAATTTTCAAATCAGAGTGAATTAGATTCCAAATAAAATGCAGTACAAAGTATTTAACCAAAGACAAATGAAGATGACTAATTAATTTGATTTTATATTATTTATTTATTAATTAAAATTTTTGAGCCGAATTTCCAGGAATCTTCTGAGATTGTGCCTCTTACCCTTGGCATTGCTGCTGCTGCTGGTCTTGGAATTTTTACATTTACAGAGGTCAGACACTCGTGATCTAAATTATGGGCATACTTATGGTACTAAATGATATATGAGTTGTGTTACATTTTTCGATTATTTTTCAGGTAGAAACAGTTCTCCAAGTTTTAGGTTCAGCTGCTCTTGTTCAGTTTGTTAGCAAGAAACTTCTATTTGCTGAGGTTTGTTATAGCTATTTCCTTCCACGTTTTTGTTTGTTNTGTACGTCACAATATTAAGGAAAATAGCATATGGTCCTAGAATTTGAAACATGCATTTTTGTCTCAAAAATTACTCATTTTCTAGAATTTTATCGATATTATAATAATACCCAATGATACTATGTTCCACTGTTACTCTCCTCAGGATAGAAAGCAAACCATACAACAAATTGAAGAGATTTTGAACACAAAAGTAGCTCCAAAAGAGCTCGTGGGCGATATACAGGTAAACGATGTTACATCTGAAAGTTGATTCCTACACTTTTTTTTTTATTCACATTAAGCCAGTCTTTTTTTTCAAACAAATGATATATGCTTACTCTTTTAAACATTTAATTCTGTAGGAAATTGGAAAAGCTTTGTTACCAACTGTTGTAACTAGCAAGGCCCTACCTGCTCCGGAAGAAGAAGCCAGCCCTGTTTCAAGTTCAACCGATAATTCTGTACAAAAATCTGAATCTATTCCAGAAGTAGTCAACTCAGTTTCGAAAGCAGAAGTTCAAAAGGAATCACTTCCCATTGCTCCAAGGTCACTTTCACCGTATCCTAATGTAAGTTCCTTCAATATCCCTTTCGACACTTCAATATTGCACGAGTTCTTGAAACATTTTGAAGGAAAAAATTTAAAAAAATTAAAAATTAAAAAGATTGCCAGCATTTAGCAAAAATATGACTATTCTTTTAGTCTGTTTGGAAAACTCATTTACAAATTCTTCATCATACATTGCCAATTCGTGTGACTCTCGAGTACTTCTAGTCTATTCGATGAAAGTTAATATTGTCCATTGACATAAAATATAAAAAGTGTTTATTTTTCGGACCTTTTTGTACTTATTTCCCTGATTTGATTGTGATAATTCAGTATCCCGATTACAAGCCTCCATCGTCACCCATACCATCACAGCCATGATATCGTTCGAAAGGGCCTTTAGCAAGCAAACTCAACTTGGCCCGGGAAATTAGACGTGCAGTTTTTTTTATGAATTATGATCGTCATAAAGCAGATTTTTCGAGGTCACATAAGCATATTTATGCAAGAAATGTATCTGTAGGGTCATTTGTAGATGGTTCTTGAATTCATGCACTGGCTATGCTGCCAAATTTTATGTTTAGTCATTCTGTATATCTTAATAACCAGTTAATTTGTTTATTGTAACAATATGATGTGATTTATGAATGGGAAGTTCACTGTTTTTCTCTTTTCTTCCTCTACTGTTTATAGTGAAAATCAATTTATTATTCTTAATCACCTATGTAAAGAGATAAATAATCTAATAAAAGATAGCCCAAAAAAAAGGACATACTTATAATAATCCATTTGGTTGGTACCCAAACCAAGTATTTCATACTTCAAAAGTACTTGGAAAATGGAAATGACTTTTCAAAGTTTCCTTTCAAAAGAATCTTGACAGAGAGGAAAAATAGAAAGAAAACAACAAATTTGTAGTTCACATTTACTCTCTTCTCAACTTCTGTTCTTACCCAACAATCAATTACGAACTACCTTAGATGGTCACCAGAATGACAATCCTGTCTCAGTCCACTATAAAAAAATCACAATTTTTAACGTGGATGGTCTAACCGTTAGTCGGGTCGATCCTCATATCTTTTTAAATAAATGCATATTTATATTGTCAAATGTCTTTCTTTGATTTACATTGTTTGTTAGAGCATGCTATTTCAAATTAAAAGTACATATATATTAGAAATGTATAAGTCAAAAGGAAATTCAACTTGAACTTTTACATCATACTGTAATACAAAAGGAAATTCAACTTGAATTTACTTTATTTAGTGTTCTCAAATACTCTTATACTAGTACAACTAGTATTTCATCATGTGCACATGTAAATAGTACGTAAAATAATAATATGAAAATTATTTATAAATATTAATATTTATTATAATATAAATTGTATTTATAACAACTAATGTCTAAAAAACAATTATAATATATAAATTTAGTCATTATATCAATTAAAAAATATAATTTTTTCTTAAAATTTAACTAATGCAGAACAACAAAAATAGTAATAAGAATAACAATCGTTACAAATATAGGCTACGATATAACTCTTTATCATAGTTTTTTTACCCGAACCGGCCCGGTGGGTCGACCCGAAGCCAGAACCGGTTTGGGTGGGCTATTTGGACTGGGTAACAAAGGACCCAGTCAAACCCGGCCAACCCAGCCTTTACCCGGCCCATGTATATATTTTTATTTTTTTTTAATTTTTATATGTTTTTTATAAAAATAAAACTATGTATATATGTTTATATAGTAAATATTTATCATGAGATACATATTATTAACATTTTAATGTACAAATTTTATACACAAAATATTTAATTTAGTTACTTTTATGTATATTTATATGAAAAAAATACTCTATATAGAATTTTAAAAATTTTAAAATGAATTATCCGGTTCAGCAATTGACCCGGTGACCCGACTGTTGAACCGATGACCCGGTGACCCGAAGACCGGCCCGAGTCGATCACCTGGCCGGGTTTAAAAACTATGCTCATTATGACGATGACACAACATTTGCATCTTTCTTTATCTAAATGAACGAACTTTCACAAACTTAAACGATGTAAGAAATATTGCAAGTAGAAGATAAGTGTTAAGTGTTGAGTTACTAAGTTAAGTTAAAAGTTTTTAACTTGGAAGAATAAACCCAAGTAATAGATATCCTTTTTATTTTAATAATAATAATAATAATAATAATAATAATAATTATTATTATTATTATTAACATATAACATATTTAAAAATATTAATCTAATAAATTAGGTTTAATTAGTCTCACATTCTATCTATATGGATTAGTTTTTAAATTAATTAACAAAAAATATATTTAAAACCGTTACAAATGATTTGACAACTATTACAAATTAAATGTAAGTCTTAATAAATGTAATTTATTTTTTGGCCAAAAAGAGTAAATTAATAACTTACAAATTATTTAGTTACAGTTACAAATTAAATCAACTATCTAGAGTAATTAATATAAATCAAACTATACTATAAACATATACAAAAATGGGTGGGGAAACAATAAAAAATATTGCATCAATTAAATATATATATAGATGAAATGAAATAAAAATCAGTTAAATATATAAAAAAAAAAAAAAGTGAAAGAATTCTTCCAACTTTCTTTGACATACCACCTGAAAGTGGAATGACCAGCAACTATTGGTCAAAATGGTGCAATGTGTTTGGTAGGACCAGCAGTTCCCATTTCTTTCTTTGGAATAAAATCAGATGAATAATTTCATAAAATAAAATATCCAATTTATACTTTATAGTTTATATTTTATGATACAGTTTGCATATAAAGTCTTTGTAGCCACTTAACTTTGGCAATAAATGCTTGCTATTGACTGAAAGTTGTTCTCATAATTCCAAATCTTGATATTATATATTCATTATTTGTTCTTTGCTTTTCTCAGATCATTTTTAACTATGGATGAGTGTAGGAAAGAACAGAACAAGAATAGAAATTCTTTCTCCTCTGAAGGTGATATTTCCCTATTTAGTTTACACTTGAGTTCCTATAAGCATAAGAAATTAGTTTCNATTATTATTATTGTTGTTATTTACTTTTCATTCTTGAAGATTCTTTTAGATAGAAGATTAACTTTCCTTGTGATTTATAACTTTATAATTATAATTTTCATATTTGGTTTACAGAGGTAAGCAGCATTAATTGGGAATCTATAGTGATGAGTGAGGAAGAAGAAGACATCATCAACAGAATGCATAATCTTGTTGGAGACAAGTGAGGATCATTTTTATATAATTGAATAACATCTTTCCATTCTTCAATTCTACTTAAACCATTTTTCTAAACAAAATGTATTCAAATAAACTTTTCTATTTGTCAAAAGGTATCAAATTTGGGTCATTAGAAGTGTGCTATATTTGAATTGAACAAAATAAAGAATAGGAAAACATTCTGCCACCATTTGATCAGGTGCTACATTTTTCTTTTCTTATTATTAATAATACTATTAAGGTTGACTAAAGAGAGATAATTTATCAGGTGGGACTTGATAGCTGGAAGAATTCCTGGCAGGAAGGCAGAGGAAATTGAAAGATTTTGGTTGATGAAAAACAATGACACTTATGAGAACAAAATAAAATTCACACACAAGAGGAGAAAAAAATCTTGAGCCTAATTTTTCTAATGTTTCTTTTAGGTTGTTTCTGGTATCCCTTTTGTGGAGTAGCTTTAGTTGACATTGTGGTGGTTTTATTTTTTATTTTTATTATTATTATTATTATTTTTTTTTTACTTTCTTTGGAAGTTCCATGTGTTGTACTTTGTTTTGTGTTGTTTTTATGTTGTTGGTTAAATGTGATGGGTTTTTGCCTATTTGGATACCAATCATTAATCAAATTAAGGACTAGCAAAAGCCCAAATATATATGGAATAATTAATATTGGTTGATGCTTATATGTTGTTTGAGAGAAAGTTTTTTTGGGCAGAAGTTTATATAAAAATTAGCTTATGCAGAAAAAAAATTTCAAAAAATAAATATGACTTCTGAATTATTTAAAATTGATATTAAAGAGTGAATTATTAAAAATCTATTTCAATTATAAATTACCAAACATATATAACTGTGAGAATGATAATTTATCAACAACAATCAATTTTAAAAATGCTCACAAACAAACACTATATGAAGTAACTAGTATGAGTCCCGTGCAGTGCACGGGTAAGAGATATTCATTAATATTGATAAATTAAGATTTTTTTATTAAGTAATATCTATAAATTAAAAATATAGAATCAATATTTAATACAATTACCTATATTAATTTATTAAAAATGTAATATAAAGTTTAAATTCTACAAAATTACATAACAATTTCTATTTAAAATTAGTACACAACTCGTGGGGTGCACATAACTGATAATAAATTACATTATATTCGTTTTAAAATAAGTATCATTTCAAAATTTTTATTCAGAACTTCGATTTGACTGTAATGTGATTTTATAAAATAGTTATTTTGATAAAATGTTATCATATGTTTAACAATCTATGTGAATAATAAGTGTAAATATAAAATTTATTGTTTCATTACTTAAAATCATTTATTTTGTATAAACTAATCAAATAAACAAAAATTAAGTAGTTGAGAATTTATTAAACTATAAATAATTGACTATTTCGTTTACCTCGAAGTTAATATTGACTCGTAAATTATGAATAATTATTTTTTATTTTTAAATTTTTTATTTTTTTTCAATATATTATTATACTATATTTAAACTATGCAACTAATAAAGGTAATAACTACAAGTTTTGTCAATTTATATTCCAAATTTAAATCATTCAACTAATAAAGGTAATAGTCGCAATATTTGACCAAAATGATTTTGTACATTAATTACATTAATTTAGGGGGGATTTTTAAAATTTTGACCAAAAATATTACTCAATATAGTAAATACTTTAGGCGGGAAACCAAATTTTTTTTTTTTAGTTGTTATTTCAAGTAAATATCATTGCCTGTTTATATATTAATAGATCTACCATCAAAATTGCACGCTAAAACATACACTATATATACATGTGGTTTTGTATTGATTAACATGGATTTCTTTCGTTCATATCAATATGTTTACCTATTAGATTTAATATGAATGATATAGTCCATATAAATAAGTAATTTTAAATAGCTGTTAATTATTTTTATAATTCTGATAACTACAAAAATTAGTTTGATATTTATGATATTCTTATTTTTAATATTTTCGATTAAAAAATATTTTTTTTCTAAAAATTAATTAAAAAATATAATCTTTCACTAATAGACGATTATAAAAAATAGAAGAATATATGAACAAATTATCACGAACAAAATATGCTTGATAAAATTATGTTTTATCGTTTTCAAAGCTACACATAATTCAAATAAAAGATAAATATACAATTACCAATTATCTTTAAAATTAAAATTCTAATTGTAAATATTTATTTAGTTTCTTGATTGCGGCCAATTTCATTAATTTAACGTTTTTGGTGAAATTGTTAAATTCTGATTGTGCACAATTTCACAATTGTTGTGAAAATTATTATATACAAATTGTTAACAAAAATCGATTTTTTATTAGCATGAGATTCGGCTCTTACAAAAATAAATAGCATAAGTATATTGGATAGACACAAAAAGTATATT